CCAATTCTTTCATTTCATATTCAGAGTATTGCCCTAGTTATATCTAATAACGAACACACGGATTTATATGTCATCCATGTATCTCGATCAGTTGGAGTTCTTACTCTGTTTTGTTGCTTAGGTTGTCCCCTTTACTGCTAGTGGGAGCTCCTTTATGCTGACCCCTTTATGGCTAGTGGGAGCTCCTTTATGCTGACCCCTTTACGGCTAGTGGGAGCTCCTTTATGCTGACCCCTTTGTCCCTTTGACCTGAACCATTAGACTTTAGACTATAATAGATTTCCTGATTTCTGGCACAACAGGGTGTTCCAGGCTCATCATACACATTTGCTGCCCCAGACCTGAAATCTGCCATTCTTCTAAAGGACTCGCCCCTTTTAACAAGGAATGATGTACTGAAAGTATGAACATGAATACTAAAGGTGCTCATTGCTATAAGATTATCATTATTTCCAGAACTTTTCAAGGGACAAAACAAGTAAATGCTTCTCCACCCCCCAAATGTAAAACTTTTCTTATTGGGACATAAGAAACATTTTTGAAAAGGAAAAATTGTAAGTTCATACTATTTCCAATTTAACTTTAATTTTACATGGATTCTACTTCCTCCGTTGTTCCTAACAATTCTAACATTTGTTTTTACCTATAATGTATAAGAATAGTTTGAAGATAATATTTTTATTATTAATAAAATAATAATATATTTATTATTATTATTATTATTATTATTATATTTCTACCAGCAATAAGGCTGCAGACTGAAGTTTAAGATTTCTTTGCAGGTTTATTTATCCTGAGAACATATTCCACTATAAATGGCCTGTAAAAACACTATTTTCTAAACTCATTTAATTATTTACTTGCTGTAGTTATGCCACCCACTTAATATACATTTAGATCATTTGTTTCAGCTTGTTTTCAAATTTTAGCAATTACATTTTTCTTTAGAATTTAAAATTATTTTGGATATGTAAAACAGATATGACTTTATTTATTTTTTAAATTTAGATAGCATTTATATAGCAATAACAAAAAATGAAAAACAGAACAACAAAAGAACCAAAAAATAACGAAGTTAAATAACAAATGAGAAATTGGGATATGTAATGGAAACATCTAGGAAAATTGCTTTTTACAAATTGTGTAATAAAAGACTCGAGACTGTTGTCTTTATCAGTTGACCAATACCGTAATGCATATACATGACTTCACATTCAAAACTATATAGTCAAGGTATATTCAGGGTAGGCTGTTCCATGCCTGTCCCCTCCAGCTGTTTCTTCCCAACCTAAATATATAGGCTAGTGTATATTTGTAGTTCACCTATCTTACCACAAACACACTGTACTATTCCGTGTCTTGGGGTGTTTTTGGTTGCTGTTGTTGTTCTAAAGTTAACCATATTCTGGAACTCACATTACATCAGTGGAGAGATGGCCCTCATTCTTTTTCAGAGTCACACAGTGTATTTCATTATATGGATCTACTCCCGTTTATTCAACCAGTCCCCTACTTGTGGTTGTTTGGTTGGTTTCTAATCTTTTGCAATTACAAATAATATTGCAATAAATAACTGTGTGCATAAGTTATTTTGTATTTTGGAAAGGGTTCCTAGAACTGGGATTTCTGGGTCAAAGTATAAATGCATAGGTAGTTTTTTTAGGGATTATCAAATTCCGTTCCATAGATGCTGTGAACTATTTTACAATCTCCCTGGCGATATGTGTTTTCCTGATCTCTACAGGCAGCAGCCCAGTAGATGGTCAAACTTTTGGGTTGTTGCTAATATGATTACTTGCCTCCTTTTATAATTCTGCCCCAAGATATACCACAATGGTTCTCAACTGCTTTTGGAGGAACTCTCTTAGCATAAACAATAGGTGATTGTGTTGAGGGTGGTAGAAGGAGGGTGGCTGCCGTGTCCCTATCTATGTCCATTCACCTAATCATGGAAATCTCAAAGCCCAAAGCATACACCATCCTTGTAAAGACCTTGCACTTCCAAAGGCTGGCTTATGTTTCCAGTCCAAGAAAAGGACATTAAATATAACTTCACTTGTTTCTAAGGTCAGCAGAATGCAGAGAGAACAGTAAGTGAAATCCACCAGTACTGTACCAACTTCAGGATCCTGAGAAAGGTGGAGGAAGAGCCATGACCATCTTTTGTCAGCTTGCTATCTCCCAAACAACCCCAAATCCCAGGAGATGGAGAAGTCCCTGTGTATAGCTGGAAGTTACCACAGATTGTGGAGTGGCCATTTTAACCCACAGGGCTACTCACACACAGGACCTCTTCTTTTGCTGCTTTGTGGGAGTCAGTGTCATCAATGGTCCTTGTTTATTTGTTTGTTTTCAGCATCTCCCATTTCCCTAGATTCCCATGGATGATTTTGCCCGCAGGGGACATTTGGCAATGTCCTGAGGCATATTGGGTTGTCACAGCCTTGGAGGGGGTTATTGCTGACTTACAGTGAGTAGAAACCAGGGATGATGCTAAACATCCTAGCATGCACAGGACAGCCCTCTGCCATAACAAAGAATTCCATGCCCTCAAATGTCAGTAGTACCAAGGATGAGAAACTGCTGCATTCTTTCTTTTTGCACATATTCACAGACACCTGCAAAATGAGTATTACCAGTGGCAGAGGAATGGCGGAATCACAGATACTTCCTCTCCCTGCCCTTCCAAAAGTCACTATCAATTCAGAAATCTCTTTAGTCAGAAAGGCTCAAAGGAGTTATATATTTATCTGGAAGATTAAAGAATAAATACCATTTTAACCTTCTAAAAATGGATTATCATTAGGTATAATGCAACCTTTTAACTGTAAGTATAAAAGAAAGTGCTGATTATTTAAAGTAAATGGGACCAAAAGTCCCATGAATAATCAAAAACTTGGTTAATAGAGTATGACCAGAGAATAATGCATTTGGCTTCTGTGGAGAAATTAAAGTACATGCTGTGAATCGGTATTTAGGAAATTGCATGAAAAGTTGGTCTTAAGGTTCCATGATTCTGAAGAAACAGCCTCAGGTGCACAATCTATCACAATCAGTCTTTTTATCTCTCTTCATTTTTCATGACTTCTTTCACCTTGGATAACCCAGAAGCTCAGGCCTTGGAACTTTTTGAAATGGGAAGGTATCTCACTCCCCACGTTTATTTTCATCTAGAACAGAGCTGAATTTTATTGCCAGGAGTTTGTTATCTCTTCCACAGGAATTATTTTGAGCTTCAGCTTGCCTTACTTATTTTGTGGGCAAAGACTGTATTTAACACTTACAAGCTTAATTCATTTCATCTAAAATGTACCCCTGAAAAGTTAAACTTGAAGTGAAAATAAAATCGGATTTTTAAATCACAAGGGAACTTTGCTATTCAAAGGGAGTCTGAGGCTAAACATTTGTAGAGAAAAGCATCTTTCTGCAAAGTGAATAATTACTCTTTAATTCGCCCTTTTTTAAGTCTGGATTTTTATATGTAGCCCGAATCTAGAGGTCCAGTATTGTGCATGATACTAATTTAAAAAAAAATCAATCAGAAATTTGAAAGCATCTTTAAAGTTGAAGACAGTTTTACAAGCTATTTTTAAAAAAGTGTAAAATTGGGCAATATACCTTTCATTATTAACAAGGGTTTGTTTATTTATTTGAGAGACAGAGAGCGTTGCGCGCGAGCAAGGGAGCAAGGGACGGGGGTGGGGGGGTGGGGGGGGAAGGGCAGAGGGAGAGGGAGAAGCTCCATGCTCAGCGGGAGCCCAAGGCAGGGCTGGATCCTAGGACTCAGGGATCACGACCTGACCCACTGAGCCACCCAGGCACCCCCAACGAGGGTTTTGTTTTTTTTTTTTAACACTTGTTTTGGGTGATGCGAAAGGGGGCAGGATATTAGATGTACCCGAAAAAAGAAAAGGCAACATTGCTTGGATAACCACATTGACTGCTTCCCTTCAGCAATGAAGAGTATAGGGGTTGGTAGGCTGTTACTTAGCGTAATGCTGTGGTTAAGAGCATGGATTCAGAGACCTGATTGCCTGCCATAACATCCCTGTCTAGTGCGGCCTTTGACAATTTACACAACCTGGATGTGCCTCAGTTTTCTCAAACGAAACATGGAGAATACTAACACCATCTACTTAATGGAGTTGTTTTGAGGATAAAATGAGCTAATATGAGCTGTAAGTGAAAAGCACTGCGGTTGCTGATACAGTTTTGAATCCTGGTGAACTGAGCGTCCTTCCGAAGAAAAAGACAAGAAAGGGTGGGCACGAGCCTCTCTGCACCCCCGTGGAGGCACAGCTGCTTCTGCCTGGGCTGTACACAGGGGACGGAAATCGAGGCTCAGCGGGGAGGCTGGTGATTAGACAAGGATCAAGGGCATTCCTTGGGAAAAAGAACCCTTTCCGCGGGGCCACGCCACCTTTCGTCTGGCTGGGAATTGAGGGCAAAGAGGGCTCAGTCCCACGCCTAGACTTTGCGTCCCACTGCTGAGTAGCGGCCTGTAACTCCCTCAGGTCAGCTGCCCTAAGGGCCGCCCTCGCGCCGGTCCACTACCCCTGCCAAAGACTGGTGGACAGCTGTGAGAGGCTTCCCAGAGGTACCGGCACCTCGCCCTGGCGCCCTTCCTTCCGGGCGAGCTGGGAGCCGCGAAGAGACTTGGTAGACACCGACCCTCGTCCAGAACACAAATATTTCTGTGCGGCACTCTGTGCTGGGCGTTGGGCATGCCCTGATGAATCAGACTGGGCCCAAGCTCCGGGGTCGAGAGCACCACTCGGCAGCCCCTACACCCCACCCCAATCCCGGGAAACCCAGGTCTTCCCAACCTCCGGTGGGAAGGGGGTGTGGGAGGAGCTTAAACTTTCGCCCTACCCCTCGCCTTCCGGGGCTCACCTCCAAAGCCCCGCCCCTTCGGGGGAGTTCACGACTGCGCCGTAAAGGAGGGAAGAGTCTTTGCTCCTGAACGGTCCGCCTCTGTCTTTACGACAGACCGTATTCCATCTCGCCAATATGGCGTCCCCCATTTAGGAGGCGGCCGTGGTTTCCACCCAGATGGTCGGGGGCAGTGCTGAGCTCCGGCCGTTGTTTGCGTAGCCCGAAGCTCTGAAAGCTGCAGTTAAAAGTGCGTTTCTGGTCACGGTTTCAGGAACTTCCCCTTCCCTGAGGGTCGGGAGTTGCCGCTTTCTTCTAGGTCCTGCAAGTTCCTCCTCTGCCCCTGGTTTTTTCCCCGCGCCACCTCCGGACATCCCCAAGTCCCTGACATTCCCAGACTCAAACTATGAGCCTTCGGCAGCTGCTGTTGCGCTTGCCCCGTTATCTCGGGGTGTCGGGTTCCCCGCGTCGCTTGTGGTGGTCCTCGTCCCTCGATACCATCTCCTCGGTGGGCTCCTGGCGTGGTCAGTCCTCCAGGTCCCCGGCCCACTGGAACCAAGTGGTGTCAGAGGCGGAGAAGATCGTGGGCTATCCCACGTCCTTCATGAGCCTCCGCTGCCTGCTGAGCGACGAGCTCAGCAACATCGCTATGCAGGTGCGGAAGCTGGTGGGGACTCAGCACCCTCTGCTTACCACGGCCAGGTGAGCTACTCCTGACACACTCGCACCCACTCGAGTCCTTTTTTCCTGGCCGACACTCCCTTCCTGCTTCGCTCATGCTGGCTCCAGGCTTATTTCTTTTTACGCTTTCCTTTTCTTAGCTTTCCTGGACATTTGATGTCTCTTCTCTAGTCCACTTACCTTAACTTTTCTTTCTCCATTTGCTCAGCTGAGCGGATAAGTGGTTTTCTTTTGAGAAACACCTGTACTCTTTTCGCGTTTTTGCTTCCAAATTGTTCAGGGCGAAATCGAGTAGGGATGAAGTTTGAGTCACTTTCTAGAAATGGTCTTTTAAAAAATGGGATAGATTGATTTCGGTTCCGCACTGTTCCAGTGGTCGCCTCCAGAAAAAAATGGAGAGGGGAGATAATGCTGAAGGTAGACCGTTCTTTCCAACGAATATCGCAGGCTTAAAGTAGGAATCTATCCAGTCAGTAGTCACTATCCTCTTGGGATTTTTATCACTTATTCTGGACTACTACTGTTGAAACTTGTTAGGATTTTAAGACCACAACTTATGCTTCCAGTAAAAAAAAATCAAAAACCTTTATTTGTAAATAATTTCAAGCATACTGAAAAGTTGCAAGAACAAAAATAGTACAAAGAGAACACCTGCATGCCTTTTAATCAGATTCACCTATTGTACACATATATACATACTATTTACATGTATATGTAAAATACGCACATTTTTAATGAATCATTTAATAGTAGATTGCATACGTCATGGTCCTTTATGCCTAAATACTTCATCGTGTATTTCCTAAGCATAGGAATATTCTTTATACTAATCAAGTTAAACACAATTACTATTGATACAATACTCTTATTAATCCACCATTGATATTCCAGTTTTGTTAATTGACCCAGAAATGTCCTTTATAGTATTCTTTCCTCTCTAGTACAGGATCCAGCCTAGGATCACATATTACAGTTAGTTGTCATGTCTCTTTCATCTCCTTCAACTGGGAACATTTCCACAGCTCTTCTTTGCTTTTGTTGAGTAGAGCTGTAGTTCTCAGATGGGGCAGTTTCCCCCCCTAGAGAACATTTGGTACTATATGGAGATGTCATACCTGGGGCATGCTCGAGAGAGGGGATGCTGTTAAACACCCTATAATGCCCAGCACAGCCCCTACAGTGAAGAATTACGGGCCTCCCAATGTCAATAGTACCAAGGTGGAGAAACCCTAGGCAAAAATTATCTTTTTTTCACGTTTTCCTTTAAAAAAAAAGATTTTATTTTTTTATTAGCACGAGCAGAGGGAGGGGCAGAGGGAAAGTGAGAGGGAGAAGCAGAATCCCCACTGAGCAGGAAGCCCGATGTGGGGCTCCATCCCAGGACCCTGGGATCGTGACCTGAGCCAAAGGCAGATGCTTAACCCACTGAGCCACCCAGGCGCTCCCTGTTTTCCTTTTTTTAATTAAACTTTTATTTTGAGGTAATTATAGATTCACATGCTGTTGGAAGAAATAATACAGAAGATCCAGTGTACCCTTTACCCAATTTCTCCCAATGGTAACATCTTGCATACCTATAGTACAGTATCACAAGTAGATTACTGACATTGATATAGTCAAGATGCAGAACATTTCTATCACTACAAGGATCCCGTATGTTGTCCTTTTATATAGCCACCCCCACTTCCCTTGCTCTCCCCCTTGCTATAATTTGTTGAGACACCTGTCATTTTTTATTACTACAGAAGTGACCAAATAGCAATAATAAAGTGATTTTACTTGTTGGCATTGTTTCCAGTATCAGGCATGCCATCTTATGAGTGGGCTAAACTTCTCCTGTAGCTGGAATGTTCTTTTTTGATTTTAGATGATACACGCTCAAAACACGCATGTACTTACATGTTTTAAAGCTTAGTAATGAAACTAAAGAGCTTACCATCCAACTTAAAAACTATAACTACCAATCCTTTTGAAACTCTCTGTACTCCCCAGTCCATGTCCCTGAACCCCAATGTGCTGGATTTTGTGTTTATTTTTCCTTTTTAAAAGTTATGTTGGTGTTTCTCCAAATAATGTGTTAAATTTTGCTCACTTTTGAAATTTATAAATATGGTAGCTTATTGCTTGTAGTCTGCTATGCTTACTTTTTTATCCACAATTGTTCCTAAGACTCGTCCATGTCGTGTTTAATTGTACTTCATTAGTTTTTCACTGGTGTATGAAATCGTATTGTGCGAATATGCCATAGCCTTTCAATCAGCATTTGGGTGGTTTGCATTTTTGTGTTATGAAAAATGCTGTTGTGAATGTGCTTGCACATGTCTCCAGGTGTACTTGTCTTGAGAGAATAGATGGAGGAGTGTATGCTCGTGTTCAGTTTTAGTAAATAATAGCAAATTGTTTTCCAAAGTGATTGTACCAGCTGACACTCTCATGAGCAATGTCTGAGTTCAGATTATTCCATGTTCTCATAGCACTAGAACCTTGAAGTTTCTTAATTTTTGCTAATCAAATAGTGTGTTTCACTGCCTGTGGTGGGGGTTGTAGTAATATGTTGCATTGTGCCTATTATAGTCTTTGTAATAAAACATTGAAATGAAAAGGGCAGAGCTGGAAAAGGCCTTATTAATGGTATATTCTGAGAATTGTAATTCATCTACTTAGTTCCCAGAGCATCAGATGGGGTGTTGGAGAAGATCACAGTACATGAAAGCTTGTAAGACTAATGGCTCTAAAAATTTCCTGGTTGTAGCCTGCCTTGCCTGCTGCAGTACCATACTACAGTGAAGGAAGTGGAGAGGAGGAAAATAATTAAGTTGCAGCAAAGGTGTTGTGGTAACATATATGAATTGTTTTATTTTGTGAGAAAAGAAAGAACTAATGTGCATGTAGTTTTATTATACTTTGATGGTGTATCACAAATTATTTACACAGTCTGAACTTGCAGGCAGAACAAAAATCTTTTGGGGAGAAGGTCCTATATTTATCTGTTTTAGCAGTGGAGCAGGCGTTTGATCCAAAGGGTAGTCAGACTGTGATTATTGTCAGTTAAAGCTAAAAGCATGGATTAAGCAACTATATTTTTTGACTGATGTACATCTTACTTTGTTGAAATCTTACCAGCGAAACGTTGATAATTAAGAGGAAGATGCTGTCAGTATGTCAGCCAAGAACAGAAAGACCCCTTGTAGTTGATTTAGTTGGACGTAGGAAACTGGACTTAGTAAATTTTTCTACAGTTTTATTTTATATTTTGGGTTTCTACTATTTACTTAAATCAATATCCTAACCCCTTGGGTCATTTTACTTTTTGTTTAAATCTACATGGTATGTTAGAGATGAATCATGTCTAATGCCCTAAAATTTAGCTGAAGGGTGGCATTTTTGGCAAACAGCAGGAGAAAAAAAGGAAATCACCATAATTTATTATACACTACCTTCTCTTTCTTTACCTAAGGCATCTTATCAAGAAAAGGAAAAAGAGCCCATTGTACTCTAACAGATTCAGAAGTGAGATTAAATTTAAAATCTTGTGGCACCTGGGTGGCATAGTTGGTTAAGCACCAGACTCTTGATTTTGGCTTAGGTCAGGATCTCAGGTTCGTGAGATTGAGCCATGTGTGGGCTCCGTGCTCAATGGGGACTCTACTCCATCTCCCTCTCCCTCTGTGCTTTCTCTCTCTCTCTCTCTCTCTCAAATAAATAAATAAAATCTTAAAAAAAAATTACATAGGTAATATTTTAGGGTGGTGGTAGTATATAACATATTGTTTCCTTTGTGATTCTTTTTTTTCCTTTCTTCCCTAGGCTGTCATTCTTCTACTGGGTATAGGGAGGACCTGAAAAGCAAGTGCAGTAAAGTAAAATGAGCAGCAAGAAAGGAACTAAAATAGCTAAAACAAGGTTAGAAAAAAAAAGAAAGAAAATAGGAGGAATCATTCTACCTAATGTTAAGTCCTAGGTATAATTTCATTGATCAAGACAGTGTGGTATTGGCAGAGGAATAGACAGATCGATGGAACAGAATAGAGAACCCAGAAATAGATCAACATAAATATGTCCAATTGATTTTTGACAAAGGTGCAAAAGCAATTCAATGGAGGGAGAATAGTCTTTTTAACAAGGTGCTGGAATGATTGGACATCACCGGCAAAAAAATGAACCCTGACCTAAGCCTCACACCTTAAAAAAAAAAAAAGGAAAATGGATACCTGTGAGATCAATGTAAAACGAATTTGAATGTGAAATGTAAAACTATGTAACTTTTAGAAGAAAACATAGGAAAACATCTCCAGGATCTGGGGCTAGGTAAACAGTTACTAGACATAACACCAAAACCCCATTTCATAAGAGAAAAAAATCAGGAATTCGACTTCATCAAAATTTGTCTTTGCTCTGTAAAAGACCATCTTAATAGAATGGAAAGATTAGCCAGAGGTTAGGAGAAAATATTTGCAAATCAAATATCTGAAGGACTTATATCCAGAATATGTAAAGAACTCTCTAAACTCAGTGGTAAGAAAGTAAACAATACAATTAGAAAATGAGCAAAAAGAGCCTGTAAAGATGACAAATAAGTATATGAAAAGGTGGCAGGTAAGCATATGTAACATTAGCCATTAGAAAAATGTAAATTAAAACCATGATGAGATAACCGCTACTTACCTACTGGACAGGCTAAAATGTAAAGTACTGACAATCTGAAGTCCTTGTGAAGATGCAGAGAAACAAAACTAGATTTCTTTTAACATTGCTGATGGGAATGTAAAAATGATACAGCCACACTGAGAAACAGCTTGGCAGTTTCTTATAAAATTAAACATACACTTCCCATACAACCCAGCAATCGCACTCCAGAGAATTTACTCCCGAGAAGTAAAAACTTATGTCAAAACCTATACACAAATGTTTATAGCAACTGTATGTGTGATAGCCCCAAACTGGAAATAACTCAAATGTCATTTAATGATGAATTGTTGAACAAATGGTGTTGCAGCCATGCAATGAAACCCTGCTCAACA